CCAGGATGGTCTCGATCTCCTGACCTTGTGATCCGCCCGTCTCGGCCTCCCAAAGTGCTGGGATTACAGGCTTGAGCCACCGCGCCCGGCTATTTATTTATTTATTTATTTAGAGATGGAGTCTCGCTCTGTCGCCCAGGTTGGAGTGCAGTGGCGCGATCTCAGCTCACTGCAACCTCCGCCTAGTGGGTTCAAGCCATTCTCCTGCCTCAGCCTCCAGAGTAGCTGGGATTACAGGCGCGTGCCACCATGCCCAGCTAATTTTTTGTATTTTTTAGCAGAGACGGGGATTCACCATTTTGGCCAGGCTAGTCTCAAACTCCTGACCTCAAGTGATCCACCTGCCTCGGCCTCCCAGAGTGCTAGGATTAGGGGCATGAGCCACTGTGCCCGGCCTATGTGCATTTTTAATACGTTATAGATATGACTAAGTAGCTCAAAATATAACAATTCAAGCTCTACCAACAATTTATAAAATAACTCATTTTCCCAAATGCTTTTCCAGCAATGGATATTGTTGCATTTTAAAAGTTTTTAAAATTTTGAGGGAAAATTATATCTAATTGCTCTGATGCATTTTCCATTTACTAAAGTTGGCATCTTTTTGGTTAATTGCCATTTGTTTCCTTTTCTGTGAATTTTCATATCTTTTGTCCTACTTTTTTTTTGTGGTATATTTTAACATAGAATTAGGAAATATCATCTAATCAAAAGTATCTGATTTTTCTGCTATCGCGTCTGTGTTTCCTCTTATGTGTAATAAGATCCCTCCCAGCCCACCACAGTGTTATATACATATATACTTCTAAAATTTATTTCAATAATCTTTGGGATTTCACAAATACACGTAATTAAGTGATCAGTCCTGCTGGCATTTGCTTACAGTGAATAGTGTGTGATGGAGATCTAGTTTGTTTTTTTCCAGGTGGCCGGCCAGTTATATCACTGCCATTTATGCAATGAATGTCTTCTGCACACTCATTTGAATACCACTTTTGTCACATATATAGATCAATATTGTCTGGTATATTTATTGTTTTTATTACATTGTTTTTATATTGTTTTAATATCTGATAATGCATGGTAATCGCTAATATGTATTGTATGATTTTTGTGTGCCAGGGAGGTGTTGAGCACTTTACAAGTATTATCTCATTTAATTTTTGTAACTTTGAGATCAGCATTTTCATCCTCATTTCTGAAATTAAAAGTGAAGAAATGGCTGGGCACGGTGGCTCATGCCTGTATTCTCAGCACTTTGGGAGGCTGCGGTGAGCGGATCATGAGGTCAGGAGATCGAGACCATCCTGGCCAACATGGTGAAACCTCATCTTTACCAAAACTTAGCTGGGTGTAGTGGCACATGCCTGTAATCCCAGCTACTCGGGAGGCTGAGGCAGGAGAATTGCTTGAACCTGGGAGGCGGAGGTTGTAGTAAGCCGAGATGGCACCACTGCACTCTAGCCTGGCAACAGAGAGAGACTCCGTCTCAAAAAAGAGTGAAGAAACTTCTGTTCTCATAGGTGAAAAGTGATAGAGCTGCAGTTCAAAAAATCTGCAGTGATGTTACTCCATCTCTCGTGACTTTTCCCATATTTCACTGTAACTAATACCTATCACATATTTTGTTAAATTTTATGTTCTCCACAGCGCTGCTTCTGAAAGTGTGGTCCCTGTAGTGACAGCATCAGCGTTTCTTGGGCACCGGTTAGAAATGAAACTTCTTGGGTTCTACTTTTGACCTACTGAATCAGAAACTGTGGAGTAGGGCTGAGAATTTTTAACTGTGTTTCATTTAACAGGTCCTCCAGGTAACTTGAATGCGTACCTGTTTGAGAACCACTGCTTTGGTTTTTAGCTCAGGGACCTGCACCTTGATGTATCCAGGAAGTGCTTATGTGGTGAATATTAACTGACTGACTATGGGAACATTGTCATTCCAGATTTCTGGGTGTCTCTGGGGAGCTCCTGGGCCAGATCTTCCTCCAGACTCCAGCCTACCTCTTCAGAGCAGCTCTGCTTGAGTTCACAGATGACTGCCAAGCTTCACACACCCTAGAGGAAAAGGGTTGAGACCCAGTGTGGCCATGCCAGCTAATTGGACCTCATCTCAGAAATCCTCAGCCCTGGCTCCAGAGGATCATGGCAGCTCCTGTGAGGTGAGGAAGAGGAGTCCCAGGGGGTGGAAATTCAATACAGGAGTAGAAAGCTCTGATCTGTCACTAGAACCTCATGACTGAGGGAGGCAGCTGGGCCACAGGAAGCAGCTGGACTCTAAGACCTGCTGCTCCTGAAACAAATCTTGATCTTCCTGTTGAGAATGAGCAACACGTGGGTAATGTCTTCACCTCTGGAGGCCACCTGTGTGACAGTGGAGAGGTGCATTGTCAAGAAAAACTGTTGTTTATTTTGTCATCACACTACATTGATCTTTGGGCTGTGGATAGATTTTCCTGGTTAGAAGTCACTTTTCTGTGGGATTTTCAAAGTATTTCTCTGTTTCTTCCTAAACTGCCTCCTCAAACACAAATATTTTCTTTTTCTTTTTTTTTTTAATATCTGTTTTTTGGATATTGGTTTTCCATTTTTTTTCCCCTCTACTGTTTTGTGTTTCTTTGCTGCTCTCTTTTTCAGGAAGCTTTGTCACATTTCCCTTCCAGCTCTTCTTTTGAGTTTCTCATTACCAGTATCAACATTTTAATTCAACGTTTTAATTTTTAATAACTGTAATTTATTTTCTAAATATTCTTTTTGATTAGCATCTTGTTCTTATTTCATGAGTATAATTTTATTTCTTATACCTCTGGAGATATTGTGATAGTGTATTAGGAAAGTTTAGTTTTTTGAATAGGGAACATATACACTTAGTTCAAAAATATGGTTGGTAAAATGGGAATAATAGTAAAAAATAAAAATTAAAAGCCATTAGAAATATATTTAAAGGCAACACACCCTGAAAAGTGTTATAGGAGGCTGGGCGCAGTGGCTCACACCTGTAATCCCAGCACTTTGGGAGGCCGAGGTGGGCGGATCATGAGGTCAGGAGATCGAGACCATCCTGGCTAATGCGGTGAAACCCCATCTCTACTAAAAAATACAAAAAACTAGCCGGGCAAGGAGGCGGGCGCCTGTAGTCCCAGCTACTCAGGAGGCTGAGGCAGGACAATCGCGTGAACCTAGGAGGCGGAGCTTGCAGTGAGCTGAGATCCGGCCACTGCACTCCAGCCTGGGCAACAGAGCCAGACTCCATCTCAAAAAAAAAAAAAAAAGAAAGTGTTATAGGAAACAAATTCAGGGGAAACATGAATCTGTGGTTGACCCACCTCCGTTCCCCACCTATCCCCATGTTTCTCAACATAGAGGACCAGGTTTATTCTTTTTCTTTGATTGCTTAGTTTTGTAAACAAGTAAAACCAGCTACACATTTTTTTCTATTTCACAAAAGGTGCCATAGTAGACTAAATTTTCACACATTGCTTTTTAAATATTTGTTTGGTAAAATACAGATTATATTATGAACTACGTAGCAGTAGACATTCTTATGCCTTTCTGTTGCATGTATAAGTCATAGTAGAATTTCATTCCAGGGTTTTAGTCACAGATAATAAGAATCTTAGCGGAATTTCACTGAACCTGTACTTCTGTTCTTTTTGGGAAATTTTATGATTGGGTATCTTAATCATTTTTATCTAGAAGATATCTAGAAGATACGAAGGGTAGATTGAAGCAAAAGTTGTAATTGGTAAAGGTATAATTGGCAGTCACTTTTCTTAGGCAGAGTAAGGAGACTTTTACTTTTGGGGTTTGAAGATGATTTCATTTTTGCCTGTGCTCAAGTACAATGACAGAGTGTTCTTGATTTTGTCTTCTACCATGGTGGTCAGAGATTGGTCTTGTTTGCT